AATTTAATAATGTATATAACAAAATATGAGGTCTGCTACTTCACTGTACCCCAAAGTTCCCTCCTCCCTCTCTCATTTCCCAGAGATAACCCTTGTACAATTTGAGATGTTTTGTTTGATAATTACCATGATGTGTCTAAATCATGTGCTTATGCTGCTCTTTTCTGGAGATATGATTAAATGACTTCTTCTTTTGAAAGGAGAAGACGTTTATCCGAGCACTCCATATTTTTGTTTATCCAGCGACCCAACATTCATTAATAACCATTATATTTTAATTCATTCATGACCACACATTTTTCTTTTACTTTGTCTATATACTCCAACCATTTATATAGCTTCCTGTCTGTCCCTCTTTCATTTAAAACAAAATTACCTAACTTCCTACACCTTCGCATTTTTCTGTGTGTATAAACGTTTATGTGTTAAAAGTCTGAAATTTCAGGCTTATTTGTATCACAACATGGCTTCATCTAAACTGAATACAATCATGTAGTCTAAAAATAGAAAATGACATGTGTTTTAGACTTGCTCATTATTTGTTCAATGGTTGAGGTGAGGGTCTGGACTAAAAATCTTTTATAAAGTACTATGCAGAAAAATTTCAAATCACTAGGAATTCTTTCAGTTGTGAAGAATGTCTGACATAAGATTTGCAGTGCTACCTTTCCAGCTTATGTACTAATTTACTTATATATTTGATATGAATAAATGCTTTTTTCTCATGGTTCTTTGCAAGACTCAGAGATTCATAAATCCTTTTGTTTCACATTCAGAATATATAATAATCTCTAAATATGCAGCAAATAAATCTCCTAGTGAGTGCCTATAGACTTGATATCCTAGCAATTAGCCAGGCTTCTGGAAACCCCACCACATCACATAAGACCCTAGGAATAAGACCTAAACTTCCGGGGTTGGTATATAGGATATCAAGGTGAATAATCTTGACAGTTACAAAGATTTAATGTACAATGAGTAATCAGTGATTTGTCTTTGCCAATATAGTAATAAAGTATGTGCATGATTACTTTGGCAAAGACAAATGATGCACACAGCATTTCTGGATTCCTTTTCCTTTCCATTTACTTTGGAAATATATCCTGAAGAAATTCCTACAATTAGAATTCCCTCATTTCTGATGAAAACCTGGTGAGTACCTGTAACTATTTTGTACTATTTTCTCCAGAAAGTCCCAGGTGGGAACACAACTACTATCCAAAATATAATATCTTTTTTTTTTTTTT